TGAGCAGGCGGGGCTGGCTGATTGTCAGTCTTCCTCGCAATGAGCGGTTCCGAAACATGCAGTGAGAATGAAATCTTATGAGGGTTTGGATGTCGCTCGGACCTGTGCTAGAAGACACTACCCGCATGTAACTACGATGTTCGACCTCCCCAGGGACTTAACACACCTCCGTTTGGCTCTCCAATCAGTTAGCCTCGCCGAGAAGGGCAAAAACCCGAGACCCTCCGAAGGAGACGATATATCACAGTGGGCGTCATTGTGGCGCACAGATCTCCCGTGAGACGATCTGAATGGTGGATGATGCAAGAACTACTCGCGCTCACTGTGATCAGGACTTTGGGGAGCTGTGTCACGCGATCACTTACACCACATGGCCTGAGCGCAGCAAAACCTGGAGTAGAAATGGCCGAAATCTCAAACGCGCTCCAGCCAAATGCAGGTACGAGAAGGTAGTGGTGGATTTGAAAAAAACTAGGTAGTCCTTTAATCCATCTCTAATCCTCCGCCATCTGCGATCGTAAACAACTTAAATATGGTGAAAGCATCAGCGGGTCACACACTCCCTGACACTAGGCTGCCGACCAGATTGAATACGCTCCAATGCCAGTCTGACTCTCATCACAGTTAACAGTCTGCGGACATCCTCTGGACGATAGTGAGACTGATGAAGAATAAAGCATCTGGCGGGGACGGTATTCCAGTATAAATTCGTAAGTGCTAGTCAGCGGTATTGGGTAATGAGTTACACAAGCTTAAAACTCATGTTTGGGAAGCAAAAATGGTGCATATGACCCTGGACGATGTTGTAGTCATGCGATTTTACGGTAAGACGTTAGATCACTGTAACCGCTGCGGCGAATGTCATCCAGATTTTTCAGGTTAGAGTCACTTTCGTTCGATTAATGCGGTCTTCTTCAGAATGTCCCGGTCATTCCGCTTCCCCGTGTCGAACATCATCACCAGCAGCACACCCTCGTCTTTTTCGCAGACTGTTTCTGACACCAACTCTGCACGCCGGAATCCAATGTGGTCACCAATACTTTTGTCATGGCTAGCAATGGTGCCAAGTCGGCAAACTCGGTGAGGGGTGACCTTAGGTCCTCTGGTTCCCTCGTCTCCAGGGGCGGCTTGCCAACTGGCTAAAAACGTTTAGAAGTTTGTCTGGCAGATTGCCATTCAGGTAATTCATACCCGGTCTTGTGAGTCGGCAGAGGGCGTTACGGCGAATTCGGTCTAATACAGGAACGCGACGGTAAGTCTAAGAAAATGAATGCCAATATTCTGCGCTGCATTTCAGCTAGGTCAGTGGGCGCCACTTCCACTTGACTGCGAACCCCTACTCCTGCTAGAAAGCAGATGACAGTTTCGTACGGCAGCATCCCGCGGACAGAAATAACTGGTCAGCGCTACTAACAAAGCACGGGGAAGAAGAGTCGGCCAAGGCAGCTCCTAAAGATCTGATTTGCTGAAGGCGGTGAAACCTATTCATCTGACTGATATAGACAAAAATTATAAGCGACGCGAAGTACTAATCCACAGTGGACTCAGCCTTAACAGAGCAGAGGTTTCACTACGACGGTGCGCGTGAGACTATATGCTGAGTAAGTCTAACGACCTGTGGTTATGTTAGAAGCCAGGCACTTGCCTAGTGCTGGGTTCTTGCTCGGCAGAGAGCTCAACTCCACCAAATATGATGCCCGACAAGCGCGCAGGGGGAAGTCACCTGCAGTGTACTTTACCCTCAAGAGGTGTCCCCTTTAGACCGTGAACACTTAGCGCAATACTCACAACTCAAACATATGAGACTGCCTAATCAAACCAATTCAATTTTGAGAACAGTATGGTTGTACGGAAGACGGAGGGGAGTCATTGGGAGTAGCATTTGTAATCATATACGTCAGAACAAAAGGAATTGCGCCGGGAGATGAAGGAACGATAGGAGCAGGGAATGGGGTTTCGAGAGCCCCAGAGGCGATACAAAACCTGGAGACATTTAACTCGACAAGCAGAGAATAGGGAGGTTATTTACAACGATATGTAATAAAAAGACAACTACTGCGTGAGCGAAGTGGGTTTGTATGACTTCCGCAGCAGCGCAGCCGCACAGGAACGTCCATGCGCCTAGAGGCAGCAGCAGCAGCGGGAGGGGGGGGGGTCAGGTGGGGTAAAAAATAACAAAAGGAACGAGCAGATGAGAGCGCGTGAATCCGAGTAGCCAAAATGAGGCAGACGGCAGGAACGAGGGCTGCAGACGGTTCAATCAGATGGGTTTGTAGAGGACTGTGGAGACAAACTTTTGTCGGTAACGAGATATGGCCGAGAGAACAATCACTCCATCCTGCAAGGGGGGAGAAGGCAGGCGGGGCAGAAAGATAAGAGGCATCGGGAAAAATAAAAAAAACTCACAAACACCAGAAATGTCCGTGGGTCTTAGAAAATTTCACCATTGGTCCACGACACCAGCTCCGCTTGTGAGACGGGCTCCTAATCGTTTGTGGACAAAGATGGTTCAAAAATATACTGAACTAAGACAGTCTACAGAAGATTAGGTGTGTCAATAGTAGTGAAAATGCGATTCCCAGGTGGCATATCAAAAGAAGAGGCGTTCACCGGGAGGGATTTATTGAAGGTCCGACGTTTCGTGTAGCTGATTTGTCTACCCGTCTTCAGAGACCGGAAAGTCTCAACAATCCACCGGCAAGTGATGCGGCCAAAAGATCCGATCCCTAAGCAGGAGAAGTCAGCCGTTGGCTACCGACTTCAATGCAGCTGCGGAAGGTAAAACTACGTTGAGGAAACCGGCCGACGGCAGCAAACGCGAATGTACGAGCATAAGTTGGCCGTGCAAAGGTTGGATCCAAAGTCGGAGGTAGCAACCCATGCCGCGCAAATGGGACACATCTTTAACCTTGACGTCGTTGAGATTGTGGGTCAGGGCGGTGATCATACAGCAAGGCAAGCGCAAGAAACCTGGATGTCTACCGACTGCTATGCCAACCGCCACATCAATTTGCCTCCCCCCTATCTGACTTTACGAACCTTCCTAACGGGGGATAGTCACGGCGTGGGACAATCGGAGCCGTCAGTCATCTCCGCGGCCGACGGGGGCGATTCAGGTCACGGTCACATACGGGTTGGATGCAGCCACACAGGCGACATTTGCAGGTCACGCATTGAACAAAGCGCGCCATATAAGGGGAGCTGTACGCAGGGCTTTCCAGTCTCTGAAGATGAGTAGGCGAATCAACGACTCGAAGCGTCGGACCTCCAATAAATCCCCCCCGGCGAACGCTTCTTCTTCTTCTTCTTCTTCTTCTTCTTCTTTTGATTAGGTGTGTGTTACAATCGGGAGCGATAATGGGGATTGAAAAGACTCATGCGCTGCAATAGCGGATGTTTTGTTCGGTTTTCAGCGGTAGCCTACCGTGGCTCTGAAGATTCAAGTTGTAGTTTCAGTCCTTCCTAACTTATCCTTCCTTAGAGGAGAACAACTGGGTAGCATTTATGGAATAACTCACAATCCATCTAAGAGAAAAAGCTTA